ACAACCTCCAGAACACGGCCAAAGAGCCCGAAAGACCCACAACAACCATCGGATCCCAGCCATGAAAGCCTTCGAAAATACAATACCTTACTACTTTGAATGAGTTTGCATCTCCAGGGCCTGATTAATTACATTCAAGAATACTGATACTTTTACAAAGTTATTCTATTTGTGTTAACAATTTGTCTGTCTCTTTGTTTAGCAAGAAAGTAATGTTAAATGTTAAAATGTTAATACCAAAATAATTACTTTCTGGCTAAACAGAGGGACAGACAAAGTACTGTACAGTGGTGCCTCGCATAGCGAGGTTAATCCGTTCCGGATTAACCTTCGCTATGCTGAAGCATCGTTGAACGGATCAAAAAAACCAATTGGAACGCATTAAACATCGTTTAATGCATTCCAAATGGGCCAAATACTCACCGTTCAACGAAGCTTCGTAATGGCCGGCAGCCATTTTCGCGCCCTCGCCTCGCTTAACGAGGGCGCGAAAACGCTGTGCGCGGCCTTTTTGGGCCATTTCCGGGCTTCCGGCGGCCATTTTGGCCGCCAAACAGCTGATCGTCGGGCTTCGTTTTGCGAAGATCGGTAAGCGAAACGCTTACCGGTCTTCGCAAAGCGAATTGTGCCCTATAGGAAAAACGTTAAGCGATCGCATTAGCGATCCGAAAAAACGGATCGCTATGCGATTTCATCGTTATGCGGTGCACTCGTTAAGCGAGGCACCACTGTATATTACTTTCCATCTCTTATCCTTAGAAGCCAAAAGCTGTTGATGTTCCAACGATCAGATTTGCAACACAGGACACTAAAACCAGATGCTCTTCCTGAGATATGGGGTTTGCAACCCAATCAATATATCCAAATCAGAAAACACATCAGAACTTATGCTACAGTGTTCTTTGGCTATAGCACAAAACACATACTGTGCATGCAGAAAGTCCCACATTTAATCCCTCACAACTCCAAGTAAAGCTACAGTACAATACTTACTGTATAACTCTGGAGAAAATGTCAGTCACAGAAAAAGACAAAAGCTGATCCCACAACTATATCAACTATCCAACAAACAGCAACAGAGCATGGACAGAGTTCCTACTCCAGTCCTCTAAAGATGCCGGCCACAGAGACTGGCGAAACGTCAGGAAGAACAATCTTCAGAACACGGCCAAAGAGCCCGAAAAACCCACAACAACCATCAGATCCCGGTCGTGAAAGCCTTCGAGAATAATCTCAGTCAATTAGACAATACTGAGATCAGACATGATCTGCAACCAGATCAAGCTAGCAGAAGTCAAGGAGGCATCTGACCCAAGTCTTACTCGGCTTCTGCATTCCTCCCGTTTCTGCCTACACTCTCTCCATCTAACCTAGACTGTCTTTTGACTATGCAGGACAGCTCCCTGATTGGCCAGTTACGTGATTTCAGGATTTTTTTTATTTATTTATTTTATTTAAAATATTTTCTACCCCGCCTTTCTCCTTACAAAGGATCCAAGGCAGCTTATATCATTTTGTAATTGACCTCATGGCTTTGGACTCTTGGCTATTGTTGCATACCTCCCTGATGACTGTCTCTGTTTGAAACCAGGCTGGCACTGACTTTCCAGTTTATGGCACTTGCCACTCACAAGCATAACGCTGATTGCCTGTGCCATGACAGTAGTATGCTAGAGACTCTAGCTGTGCCACACAAGTTTCTGATATACCGAATAGATCAACTTTGGGTCATTGATATATCTTCTGAGAATCTCTAGCCAACATGGCCACTTCTTTGGAAAGGTAAGTTTTACAAACTCCATTGTTTTAATAGCAAGCAGTCAAATTCTTTCATTTTTATTTGGAAACTTCTTACAGGCTTTCTGGGCCTTTTGAAACAGCTGCCTTTTTTTAAATGTTCATTGCCAGGTTGTAGAAACTATAACACTGAAATCATCATCCCTAAGGGATAAGCAAACCAAGTGGCCCTGATTCCTGCCAGGTTACATTTAAAAGTAATTTTAAAAGTTATTCTGCTTTATAGTAAACTATTCCACCAAGATAACAAACTAATATTTATTTTCCTACCTGCTTCAGCTCTACACAATGATTTCACTCCACTCTCCAAATGCCAGTTTTCGCCTTTATTTTTTTGAAGGGAAGCATCTCCTTGGTCAGTTTTCACAGCCGTTGTTGAACTGAAGTCACAAGTTGAAGGACAAATATTGACAGATGTTAACCTATTCAATTTTGGCTCATCCACCTGCAATAAATGAAGACAGGAGAGATTGTGTATAATTTACCTCATTACAGAACATGTTGATTGTGAATGAAATCTTGCATTTTATATTGCTGCCATCCTCATATGTACTAACATGTGAATCTTGAACTTCTTAGTTACATTTTTAAAAAATTAATACAGTAACACCGTTACCCTATTAATTTGTTGATACACAGTGTGGTATAATGGTTAAAGAATGGACTGGAATTCAGGAGGCCTGGGTCTGAATCTCTACTTAGCCAAGGAAACTCAATTAGGGCATGGAACTGTTAAACCTTAAATATCACACTTACCTTGAATTGATAAAAAATATTTTTGTTTAAATCAATTTAAATCAAGATTTAAATTTAAAATATGATTTGTTTTATTGAAGTCAAAATTCTTATTTTAAAATTTAAATCATTATTTAAAACATTATTTTAACTGATTTTATTTAAGTCAAATCCACCTGGCCATATTTCTTCATGACAACTGTATTTTACATGTTTTTCAATGGGATACTTCTAAGTATAGAAGATTTTTTAAATTATTTACTGGAACAGCTGTTCAAAATTTTTATAAATTATCATTTTATGAAATGGCATATTACTACTGCTTCCAGTACTTGCTAAATGTACAGGCTTCTAAGCATTCACCAGCCCTCCATCTACTTGGTCACAGACATCCGGCATCTGAAGCGAAAGAAGGTCAAACCTGTCATTATGGTGGAGAAAACTAATCATGGTGACAAAAATAAGTTTTATTTATTACCCTTAATACAAGAAACCTTTACTGTGGAATATGATTGTACTGTCACTACACACCAGAGATTTTTAATCCCCAATCATTTCAACTTATTTTACAGTTCATTACCTTTTCAGTTAGATATTGCAGCAAAGACTCTCCTGAGCTCATACAAGCGCTTTTAAAATCTGCTATTTTTGTATTCATTTTTCTGAAATAAAACAATGGACAGAATAGTATAGGAAGAGTTAAAACATATATATTCTGTGTAAAAATGAGGAACAAAGGAATCTGAAATAATAATTTGCTTAAATCTACATTAGAGTTTTATGCAGTTTATAATACCTGGGAATAGCTCCGATTTTAGGGTTCAGGTACTGCCCCTTTTCCCTTGCTTTTACAGTGGGGTCTTGACTTGAGAACTTAATCCGTATTGGAAGGCGGTTCTCAAGTCAAAAAGTCTGTAGGTCAAGTCTCCATTGACCTACAGTGCATTGAAAACCGATTAATCCCGTAACAGGTCGCTTTTGTTCCATTTTGGTTTTTTTCTGGTCTGTAAGTCAATTCTCAGGCTGCAAGTCAAACCTAAATTTTGCGGCCAGAGAAGTCTGTAACTCAAAAAGTCTGTAAGTCAAGCCGTCTGTAAGTCAAGGGTCCACTGTACTAAGCTCCGTGGCTTAGCAAAAGGAAAGGAAAAGCAGGGATCAAATTTTCTAATTTGGGGTTAGAAAGGGGGAATTGTCTTATACATTGGCTCATCTTATAAACGGAAAAATACAGTATATGCTGGTGGAAGTTTCCTGGATTATCCTAATTTTGGAAGCACACAGAGGGTTCTCTGCGGATGAGGCAATGAAGTAATTTAGTACCCAGATAGAGCCACAAAAACATATGAATGTTCTAGTCCAAATCAAACTATAACCCTGTTTCTTCCTTTATGCAACAAACAAGGAAGAAGAGTGAGGACAAGGACTAATATCTCTGCCGACTGCCAACCCTGTAACCTACCATGAGCTGGAGAAATGTTCTATTCACCTAAGTCCTCAGTATAATTTCAGGCCCTGGACAATCAGGACTCTTTCCAAGAAAGAGCTTGGAAAGCACTCCTTGATGCAGAAGTTACCTTTCCAAGACCAAGATCATCCACACTCTTGTATTCCCAATCACTACATATGGATGTGAAAGCTGGACAATAAAGAAAGGTGCCAGGGAAAAAATAATTTGTTTAAAATATGGAGCTGGAGGAGAGCATTGCGGATACCCTGAACCACCCGAATGATGAATAAGTGGGTCATAGATCAAACCAAGCAACAACAACTGTCCTTGGAAGCAAAAATGATAAAATTTGAGGCTGTCATACTTTGAACACATCATGAGAAGGCAACACTTGCTGGAAAAGACTTTCTCAAAAAAAGTTGAAGAGAGCAGAAAAAGAGGAAAAATCAAGGTGAGGTATATTAACTCCCTAAAGGAAACCACAGTCTTGAATTTATAAGAGCTGAGCAGCGCTGTTGAGGCCATGATATTCTGGACATCACTCATTCATAAAGTCATCGTTAGGGGGAGGATTTCTATGACATTTCACATTTTCTCTGCAACCTACATTTAAACCTGTTAGCTAGTTCAAACATGTTTACAAGTAACCTGCCCTTTCTCACCAGATTACTCGCTGTTAACTAGTTCAAACATGTTTACGAGTAACCTGGCCTTTCTCACCAGATTACTCATAAAGATGTTCAAACCCACCCATCAATTTGGATGCAGAAAAAAATATGAAACATCATAGAAATCCTCCCAGTACTCATCATAAGTAGGAGGCGAAAATAATAATAGCACATAACAACAACCTGAGCACTTATTCTTCAAAAATAGTGGCATTCAGTAAGAATACTATGCTTCTTTTGTTCTCCGCTTTCAATATTACCAGAGCTAATTGACATTCTAGGCCTGCGGGTTCAGATTCTTTCTTCAGTGGCACCATATGAGCCTTTCCTGGAGGTATAAACCTTGTTTTTTTGGCAGAATTCCCCAGCAACTGACTTGGAGCAGCTGATCGTCTCATGTTAAATTATCCTGGTCTGTAAAACAAGAAAACAGCATTGTAACAGAATCATAACGTTGGAAGGGATTCCTAATGTGTACAGTATTCGTTCCCTACCCCATCAAAAATCTGAGATGCAGGATGCTACAACAGTATCCCTGACAGACAGCAATCCAGTCTCTGCCTAAACACCTCCAGCAAACTACAGCTTGGCACTTTCCATGGCAGTTTATTCCATGGTCAAACATCTCTGTTAAGAAGATTGTGGTAATGTTTAGCCCATCTATAGAAAGGAACTCTTTCAACCCATTCGGTAACATATACTTCTAGGTGCATCTCATGTCAAACCACAGAGATAAAATGCAGGGAATTAGGCAATATGGTCTGTGCCATTCTTCTGTCAGTTATCTCTCCATATGAGCAAGTGATGAAAGGGCTTTGGAGTCTCGGGAAGGATCCTGTGCCTACTCTTTATTTCACCAGGATTTTTAACCTCCTTGTCTTTATTTAAAATGCAATAATATCTTCCTGCATGTTTACTTTTCTATTATTTTTATCTGTTTAACTATTTTAACTTTTGCTGTTCTATTGCAGTTCTTATTATTAATCCTCCCAAAAATACTTGTATTTTAAGGAGAAGGTCAATATTCTAGCTGACCAAACAGTTCAGTGAGTTGGATTATTGGTCAGGCATTTGATTTCCCACTACAGTACGTCTCCCAGGAGAAGAGCCAGCCTGTATAGCCTCAAGCAAGTTGCACAGTCCTAGAGCAAAGCCAAAAGAGACTGAGCACTTCATACTAGGAAACCCTGGCAAGGGCTGCCATCCGTCAGAACTGACTTGATGGTCCATAATTATTATCATTGATTATGAATAATCTAGTTATGGTATCCAACCAACTTTGCAAAATACATATATCTGTTTCTGATACTGATATCACAGTTGTTTGTCATATCCTAGAATTCCTCTCCACAACCTACAGTCTAATCTCATCCAGATTTTTTTTCACAATCGATTACTGACATACCAAAATACAGCAAGCAAACAAAAGCCATTTGGTGAATATATGTATGTTCAACTCCCTGACAGGCCTTGGCTGGCTATAAGAAATTCCAAGTAGTTTGGGAGCTTACATGAAGGCCTGTTAGGCCTTTTGATTCTGTCCACAGTGCCTCTTCCTCAGAAACAAAATGCAGAGTTAAGTCCAAATAAATAGGTGTGTTAGTTTGTCTCAGTACGCTGGAAAAAGTAAAAAGGGGAAGAAAATAAAAAGACAAAACATTGTGGCACTTCGATCACAAAGCACAGTATGTATTCTTCCCCTCCACTCTTTTGTCTCTCTTTAATTTTGACAACTTATAGTGTTAGAAGTCACACAACTAGATATTCCTGAGCATGAGCAAAGGATCCACTGAAGAAGAAAAAAAGCTGACTGTATAGAGCTTCTCCATCTTTGGCTGCAGAGAATATAATCAATCTGATTTCGATATTGCCCATCTGGTGATTTCCATGTATAGAGTCGCCTCTTGTGTTGTTGGAAAAGAGTGTTTGTGATGACCAGCTTATTCTCTTGACAAACTCTATTAGCCTTTGTCCTGCTTCGTTCTGAACTCCAAGGCCAAACTTGAATATAGTGAAGCTGAAGTCTGATGCACGTGGAGGAGAGCGACGTTAAATTGCAATCCTTCGCACACTTACTACGCAAATCCCATTGAATTCAACAGCACTTCCGAAAGAACACACTTTTCCGAGCCGTAAAATCCTCATTATTTCCATTGTTTTCTATTCCTATCCACAGCGCCTGTCACTTCTTGAGCCCGGGCACCCCACCCTCCAAAAAAAGGCCAAATGGTAGTGAGAAATCTGTACATAAGACACTATTTTACTAGCAGAAAGCAGCAATGACTTGAAACGACTGCTAGTGAAAGTGAAAGGCGAAAGTGCCAAAGCAGGATTGCAGTTGAACCTGAAGAAGACAAAAATCATGACTACGGAAGACTTACACAACATTAGCGTTGGCAATGAAGAAATTGAAATAGCGTTTTTGTATGTCTTGGCAGTGACAGATTTTACTGTCTTGGGCTCCATGATCACTGCAGATGGAGACAGCAGCCCCGAAATTAAAAGACGCCTGCTTCTTGGGAGGAAAGCAATGACAAACCTTGACAGCATCTTAAAAAGCAGAGACATCACCTTGCCAACAAAAGTCCGAATAGTCAAAGCTATGGTTTTTCCTGTAGTGTTGTATGGAAGTGAGAGCTGGACCATAAAGAAAGCTGACCGCCGAAGAATTGATGCCTTTGAATTGTGGTGCTGGAGGAGACTCTTGAGAGTTCCCTGGACTGCAAAGAGAACAAACCTATCAATTCTAAAAGAAATCAATCCTGAGTGCTGACTGGAAGGACAGATCCTGAAGCTGAGGCTCCAGTACTTTGGCCATCTCATGAGAAGAGAAGACTCCTTGGAAAAGACTTTGATGTTGGGAAAGTGTGATGGCAAGAGGAGAAGGGGACGACCGAGGATGAGATGGTTGGACAGTGTCATCGAAGCAACCAACATGAATTTGACACAACTCCGGGAGGCGGTGGAAGATATGAGGGCCTGGCGTGCTCTGGTCCATGGGGTCACGAAGAGTCGGACATGACTAAACGACTGAACAAACAAACATGTCTTGGTTCCATAATCAATCCAAATGGAGGCTGCAGCCAAGAAATGAGAGGACTGGAGACTCGGAAGGGCAGGCGTGAAGGAACTAAATAAGATTATCAGGTGTAAAGTGTACGACTTCAGAGCCAGCCCAAGTTTATCCACACTTTCACTGCCCATCACGTATGGGTGTGAAAGCCGGACAGTTAATTAATGAAGGAATTTATTTAATACCCCGCCTATCTGGTCATTGCGACCACTCTAGGCGGCTGACAGGGAACAAAAAATATTTTTTTTGAAATGTACCGGAGGGGAGTTTTGTGGATACCCTGGATTGCCAGAAAGACGAACAAATAGGTCCTAGAACAAATCAAGCTTGAATTACCTCTGGAGGTAAAAATGTTGAAAATCCGGTTGTTTTACTTTGGGAAGACAGGATTCCCTGGAAAAGACAATAATGCTGGGAAAGGTGGAAGGCAGCGGGAAAAGAGGAAGGCCCAATATGTGATGGATTGACTCCCTAAAGGAGCCACAGGCTCTTGTTTACAAGAGCTGAGCAGGGCTGGTGAGGACAGGGCATGTTGGAGGTCGCTCATTCGCCCCAAGTCGGAGGCGCGTTGACGGCCCATGACAACAAGCGAGAAAGACGGCCCGGAACCGACGCGCTCTGAGCCTACGCTGGGCAGGGTTGGAGGAGGCCTCGCCGGGCTACGCCGGTAGGAGGA